ACACTGGTAAGAAAGCCTAAAGATGATCTTTCTACCAGTACATCCAAGAAGGGGGCTGATTATACTCTTCTATCTCCATTGTATATTTTAAGGAAGGATGGAGATTATTAAGATGAGAGAAAAACTCTTCCGCTTTACTTAAGCAGGAAAAAGACGTAAGAGTGTCATCCACGTAGCGGAAGTAGCAATAAGGCTTGTTAATCTTACTGAAGAGGTGCTTCACGTGAAAACCAACAAAAATGGCGGCTAAGAAGGGACCCAGTGGACTACCCATCGCTACTCCATCTATTTGTTGATATAGCCAGTTGTCAAAGCTAAATGAAACAGATTAAGTAGCCATCCCCATTCAACACAACAAATACACTCGCAGGGAAAGGTGGACTCTTTACAGGGCCACGATACACAATGTTAGCATAAATTTCTACTGTTTCATCTTGTGGAACATCCGTGAACAGACTAGTTATATCAAACGATACAAAAATTTCAGTATCAGAGTTTGGTTTCAATTTGTGCATATAATCAGCAAATCTCTTTTCTCTTACGGTTTTGAGTGTCAAACAAAATGTAACAACACACACACTCACACACACACACACACACAGATATATATATATATATATATATATATATATATATATATATATATATATATATATATATATATATACGGTTATTGCACAGAGTTCCATGCCATCTGCAATCCTCAGGTGGTATTTTGGGGTTTAAACCGTTTATTTACTAATTCTGGTTAACGCAAGATTTTATATTATTAGTATGGATTATTACAGTTGTTAAGAATTTAATTAAATTGTAGTTTAATTTTAGATTTGAATTTAAGCGCCGATTAACATTTAACATTGAAAATATGACTGGAAATTAGAATTATAAATTTTAATTTAAAAAAGGACGCTGTAATGAATAATAATAATAATAATAATAATAATAATAATAATAATAACCTGCAATGTATCTTTGAAGATATTCAAAAAGTTGTCAAAGTTGTCAAAGTACAAGGACCTTGAAATAGAAATCTCGAAAATATGGCATATGGGAACATCAACAATCCCTGTTGTAGTTGGAGCCCTAGGACTGGTTGGAAAAGATTCCAGTAGACTAATTGAAGGGATTCCTGGAAGTCCATGCCTCAAGGAGATACAAAAAATTTTTCTGACAAGTACAGCCCACACCTTACGAAGGGCTTTATCTATGTAATTTTTTTTTTTTTTGTCAGTGGAAAGTGTCATGACGCCATTTCTAACCTAAGGTCCCTGGGCGGGACCCGCAAAGAAATGGGTAAACGCCAGAAATCAAAGAAAGTAATAATAATAATAATAATAATAATAATAATAATAAGAAGAAGAAGAAGAAGAAGAAGAAATAAAAATAATAAGATAATAAATAAACGACTGGAGATAAATAGGGGAAAATTTACTTAATAATAGTAATAATATTAATAAAATATGGAGTGGTAAAATTAAGATAATAATAAAAATACTAATAAAAATAAAAATATAGCAATAAAAATAAATAAAAATAAAATAAAATAAAAAGAAAACATGTCAAGAATACAAATAATAAATAAAAAATAATGGTAATAATAATAAAATAATAAAATAATAATAATAATAATAATAATAATAATAATAATAATAATAAACACATTGCTGATAGTAATACTAAATGTAAAAGTAAGATCAAGTCAATAATAATGATAACAATGGTTACATATTAAAAGTAGTTATAATAATGAAAATAATAAGTAAGCATAAATATTAAATGCATTATTATAGTTATATAGTAAATATAGTAAAAACATTAAAAAAAATAGTCATGTTAATAATAATAAAAGAATATCAATATTTGTGGTCACGGGGCTCGGGGAGACCACATTAATCTGGAACAACCTTTACCTGAGGATTACAAACATGAAACTTCGAGTTGTTCAACCAACTTAGGGTATTATGCATGTTTTTAATATATTAAATAACATTAAGCACTGTTTTTCTCACTATATACCTTATCTTACCTTATATATATATATATATATATATATATATATATATATATAGAGAGAGAGAGAGAGAGAGAGATACAAACGCTTGCTCTTGCATTTACAGAAATTTATCCATTTGATCATACATATATATATATATATAATATATATATATATATATATATATATATATATATGTATATATAAATAAAAGAAAGAACAGTAAGATATATAATCCAGTGCTCTTATAGATATTTTATTTTTACAAAATAGTGCTCAATGTAAATTTAAATTTATTAGATAATTATATATATATATATATATATATATATATATATATATATATATATATATATATATATATATATATATATATATATATATAAATATTAAAATTAGGAGATCTGCCAATCACGTTACCATATAAAGTGTTAGGAAATCATATGGGCTATATCACCTGAGGATATCTTAATGGGATTATTTGGAAATGTAAAGGATCTGCATGTTAAATTCTTATTTTATTTATAAATGTATTGAGCACTTTTAATACAACTATGTCCTGGTCTAATTTAACTCTAACCAATAACAGACGCGCATATGTGTGTGTGTGTGTGTGTGTGTGTGTGTGTGTGTGTGTGTGTGTGTGTGTGTGTGTGTGTGTGTGTGGTTGCTGTACATAATTAAATTTATTAAATATTTGTTTGCTTGTTTCTTTTAATTTACGGGCTTCTTTTATTTTGAATAATGGGAGACATGTATCAGGTTCGTCTTGAAAACGAGTCTGATGCATATTGAAATTGCTACAGTTCCTCAGCTTATTTAACCACTACTTTCCTTTCCACTCCATTGTTTTTCATGGCTACTTAACTTCAGTCATGGTCATTAGCAGGATATGACAACACAACTGCCAAATTCAAACACGTTATTATTCATTCATTTGCGTCACTTGCAGTGGCAGAATGTCTTTTTTTTTCCAGAATATTTAAAGTAAAATATATCCGTATTAAAATTTAGTCAGAGAGATGTAGTGTCAGACATTCATGACAAGCGGGCGATC